TTACCACTAACAAAACATTTTTGGAGGGCTGAGCGACAACATGGATTGATGATACTCACCCATCTAAATGAAGATCAGGCTTCACAATAACATAGATCAGGAGAATCCACAAATATGACGAGATAGCTGCCATACCACAGTGCATTCTCATACAGCGCTGTTTTGATTTTACCTCGCACAGTAAAATCTCCAGCATATGAGTAGGACTGCATGATAGGAAGAATACCCCTGAAAAAAAAGAACAAATTAACTTTATATTTGATTATATCAAATAACCCCAAGAGTGGTGCGTGTAATAAGGTATAGACTAGGCAAAGTCGCACTCGGGCCAAACTGGCTCACACTGCCGGAGCTTATCCCAGTTTCCGTAGCATGAAGCTGACTAGGATTATTGTTACTCCCCCTAGGTTACCCGCAGCATTTTGTCAGGTTGCCCTAACAGTTCGCGCAGTGAGAGAGGCACTGTGAGAGTAAAGTGTCTTTGATTTATTCAGAAATTACTATTAACAAGAGATCTGTAATCCTTTTAGGAATAAAATGTAAATTAAGATGCAAAATTCAAACAATACTACAATGAGTTGGTGAACAAGCAGCATTTATTTAGTATTATTTTCTTTTGAGTACACAGCTGCAAGGCTGGGTCATAGAAAACCATAGGACCGATTAAACATTTTCAATTTTTTTTTTTGGTGACACCTAATCACCAATATCAATCTTCTTATCTGCTACAAATTGCATAATACTCTTTGAAAAATCGTAACTTATTCGTCCTTGCTCTCTACACATATTTGACATCACTGACAACGTAGGCCTTTATAGATTGTTTATTTTAAGATTATATTTTTGAACAGATTTTATATTGTGGAAAGAAATGCTGGTATATTTTAAGCTTGGTAGAAATATGAGAAAGATGTTAATCAGTCATTGACACGTCAAGCTACTCGCAAAAAACATTTCCGAGTTATTTTAGGAGTAGCTTGTGTCACTGACTGATTGATATCTTTCCTTGAATTTTTCGATTATTTTCAAGTACTTGAACTTACCATGAAAGTATCTGGGAAGACCAGTAAACAACCCGCCAAAGATCGGGAAGAACTTGCTCCGGTAAATAGCTCCAGGGTTTCTCACAGTCAGATGGATCTGACTTGCTTGAGTTTTTCTCCGAGACATTTTTCGATGAATTCGACACAAGCGCTCTCTTGTGCAAGTTTAATTCAGCTTCGTGTAAACATTTTTCTATATAATGTCTATAAAATCGTAAAGAAAATATGAAAAATGTGTAATCAACTCTGTATTCTTGAGTAGAAAATACGGAAATCGCTGTTGTAATTTCAGTGATAGTAAGCTAAGCTTATTTGTTATTAAAATTTAAGGATAAAATCTACATGAAACCAACAAATTTTAAATTCAATATTACATTTCGCTATAAAGACACTACAAGTCGGCTCTGATAGCAATGATAACTGGCCTAAACATCGAAAATGATTTCAACTCCACCGCCGAGAGACGTCTAATGGAAGAATGAATACAATAAGAAACGAGAAATACCAAGCGATAAAGACCGCTATAGTGACAAGCCAGTGCTGCTTTCGCCAATTTCCATACTGATGAAGAAGACATAATGTGACAAGGAACACGAAGATCATGCTCCACCGTAAACGGTGCAGCACTCATCTTGGAAGAACTAGGATCACAAAGGCGTAGAGTGTCGAGCTTGTAGTCGTAATAACTCCGAGAAACGAGACAGAAAAGTTTGATTACATTACGGAAGATCCTCAACTGACCGGTGATCAAAGCTCCGACATCGGGAAGGACTAAAAACTAGCAACTTTTTTGCGTAGAGCCTGGGAAGGAAGCACCTTATCGCCTTGTAAGAAAGAGACTCCTTTGTTCTTGGTCCCTTGTACATTGTTTCTCCACTGAAATCGATTTAAAAACAACAACAGACAAAGAATAAAAAGACAAAAAACAAAAAATCAGAAAACAATAAAACAAAAACAAAAATAGATCCACCCGTGCGCACATGTGGCTGCTGCTTGTTAGATCATCCCTTTGTTCTTCTCCATCTCCCCGCTAATTCGCACTACGCCTCACTCTTCCCCAAAATTCGTCGTGTCCTTTTCTCCAGCTCCCCCTATGACTCAGACTATTCCCCCCTCTCTATTCTCCCCCCCCCCCCCCCCCACCTTCCAATTGTTATTCGTCAACTTATTCCCATGTTCCCCATACTCCAACTCAACTGGTCTCCGAATATCACTTTATTTCCCATGTCACCTACAGTTAACTCCAGTTAAACCAAACTGATTACAAGGCCTACATCAAAAGGGCTAGCCTGAGATCAGGCTCCTGAAGAAAATTTGCGAGCGAAGCGAGCCGAGTCTCTGCAGAACGAAAGCGGACGGAGCCTGAAGACATTCCTTTGATGCCGCCGATCCGCCCTCCAGTAATTAGTCCTGTTACAAAATGTCAACAAGTCACCTGGAGTGTTTGGCGTGTTTCCCAAATTAACTTCTTGTTTACTAGAATGCTTAAATAAGTTATTTATCACGGCAAAAATGATCGTTTCATTTCAAGTATTACCCATAAAACACGCTTGAAAGTAAAAATTGCTAAAAGTAAGCGTATAAAGCTCGTGCTCGTGCTCGCCACAGGCAGCGACTCGGCTCGCTTCGCTCGCAAATTTTCTTCAGGAGCCTGATCTCAGGTTACGGTGAAGACGGCTTCGTCCACGAAATTTACCGTAATACGCGTATGCAAAATATGTAATTTTAGCCAACGCTACGTCTGTTGAATGTTCAATTTTCAGCCGTAATTTGTTCTCTTCGCAAATGAAAGGACTCCAAACGCAAAAGATCGCCGGCTACCGGCTCCATGTCCATTTTTTGGCAGTTTTTATCCTTCCATTTCGAACTTCAGCTTTCAGGCCTAAACGGGACAACTCTTCGACTTGGTCTTTCATTATCGAAAACTGCAACGGCGACACATGTACAATTAGAGCAGTAGATCGTTCTAATCTCCACCCGAGGTTAAACTCTTGCCAAAACCAGTCAAGAGAGTCCCAAATACATCGCGCTCTTTTGCCACAGATTCTAGGCATATCTTTTGCTCTTCCTTGAGCCGAGGGATATCTCTGAAAGATCTAATGGCAAATAATAAATTCCGTAACGCTTGCTCAATTCTCCTGTATTCAACTTCAACAAACAACGCGTGACATTGTGTTGTCAAACTATCTGTCATTCATTCGCCGCGAATCTGTCAATATTAAGCAAAATGACCAATCAGATCATGATAACCAGAATCTGGTATCATGGATCGGCGGCGTCAAAGAATGTCTTCAGGCTCCGTCGCTTTCGTGCTCGCCCCAGGCAGCGACTCGGCTCGCTTCGCTCGCAAATTTTCTTCAGGGGCCTGATCTCAGGCTACAAAAGGGCATATTTAATGGTCGATATTTCAACTAGCATCCAAAATTCACACTAGAAGAAAAATGCATTTTTGTGGTCAGATACAAAGACAAAAAGCATGCCAAACGCTGTCCCCAACAAGATAGTCACAGTGCGTTCCTCTTATGCGTTAACGGTGCGCGGTTCCTCGATTTTCGTTTCACGGTAATGGCAAATCACCGGTAAATGGCTTTTCAGCAGATCACGTTTCACGAGGAAAGAAAAACAGTCCATTTCACGCCTCGCGCGAAATCACGGTTCCGACTAATAAAATAACCTTTTATACCCGTAGTTTTACAAAAGGGTTACGCCAGTTTATGCGAAGAGCAGCTAGTGTAGACCTCAGAGGCAGAGGTCTATAAGCTACAATTAGTTTCTTATAGACCCAGAGGCAGAGGTCTATAAGTAACTTATAGACCTCTACTCGTTCCAATCAGGGCTAACATGCATAGTTCTGAGAATCTGTTGGCAGATCAAGATAAATAGTTGTTCCAAGTTGGTGAACTGAACATTTGATCGGTAAAAGAACAATGTAATCAATATTCACATACATGTATGTGTGTTATTCATCATTCAACCTCTCCAGTGAAATTAACTTGCCCAAATAAGAGTTTTTCCATCTTCGTTGTAACTTATAATTTAAGCAACATTTTTTCTGCTTTTGCTTAGAAAATAGGAATATTTTTATTCGTTGTAACGTTAGAACGGTCGATATAGTCTGACGTGTTACGGCAGTATATTAAACGCCGAACAATACTCACTAATTAATTCATGAACTATTTAATCAGCTGATTACTGTTGTAACTCTATCTAATGCCACGTAATGAAGTTTGTATTAAAGTGTCACTTTCAAAAATCTTTTCATCTAAAGGCATATATCTCCCTTCGGGCAGGATTTCGAATGCTAGATTGCAATTGTAGCTATATAAACCTTCAGCCGAAAAGCTATTTCTTAAATTTGATATAGCGTTCAGACAAACCACAGTTAGACTAACTGAGGTTATCGGTAACCGATAACCGAATAAGAATTTTTTAAGAATTTTTACATTTAACAGCGAGGACTGCGTTTAATACACCTGTTATTAACGGTGAATTTCACAAAGGATGAATTTTTTACCGAGTTTTCAAACGTTGTTTCTCTGCATGTTTTTCCGTCGTTAAACTCGCTTTTTCGAAGAAATATGGCCTGGTAGAAATCACTTCCGAAAATTATGAAAGTTTGGTGATAGACGGAGAGAAAGATGCGTGGATTGTGGCGGTCAAAGGCGCAGGAAAAGTGTCTCTAGATGAATGGAAACAAACCGAGTTTAACCTGCGAGGATTATTTGTGCGAGTAGGAATAATTGATCCTAACAAAGATGGCGCCTTCTTGAAAAGAAAGGTAAGTACCACAGTTTAGGCCTCGTGTAATTTTCTTTGAGATTCTTTGAGAACAAGAATTATTTTCGTTCTACACATATCTTGCATATCGACAAAACGAATCCTAGCAATATGTGGGATGTTTTTCACATTTGAAACCTAGTTTAAGCCTAGTTATATGGCCTAAGCTCCCAACATGAGTCTCCTGAAGCTCAATGGTAGAGCGTCCGACCAGTGTGCGGAAGATCATAGGTCAGTTGATTCCAGTTGGGAGAACTCGGAAATGTTTTTCTTTCTTCTCGTCTCTTGCCTGCTCGACAATGTACTGATATTGTAAGGATAAATTTGTTGTTGATCATTCGAGAAATAAAGGGCAACAGTGAAAAGTTCAGGAGTTGAATGGACAATAAGATTTTTTTGAAGTCATACGTAATCAAGTTTCTTTTCATCTCACGACCAGAGCGTTTTTACGGCGGCCATATTGGTGTCCCCAAACAATAGGAACTTTTGCATAAGAAGTTTCATTGTTTGGGAACACTGACCAAGATGGCCGTCGTGTCGTCCTGTGATCATCATTTTTAACTCGTGAATGCAAAAGCAATGAACCGGTTATAACATTTGGCGGCACAAATTTTACTCGCTCGGTCGATGAGATATAACTTAAATCGCGCTATTAATTTATGCATATTAATTTATTCATTCACGATTGAGCTCATAGCCTCATAGGAGCCTTTGATAATATTTCCAGGGCTTCCTTCAGAAGGACAAAAAGTATCCAGTCGCCCGCGTTTTTCCTTATGGTGGTTACAAAGATAAAAGCAGCTGAAAAGCAGGACGTGAAGTCTCTATCAGAAGCTGAAAGTATTGCACTGGAGAGTCTGCCAGATGAAACTACCAAGGTTAAAAACAATGGATGAACTACAGCAAACTGTGACGCGAGGATACCAAGCTAAACCTTTAAAAATGCCAGTCTTGCTACTGACAGGTAAATGAAATGTAGCCCGGGAGCTATTCATTTCGTGATCCCCTCCCCCAGGGTGAAAAATCAAATCAAACTGATATTGAATGGTCATTTCATCTGATCAATCACAGTAAACGCAAATAACGCAATGAACCAATCAGCACTCGAAGAAAATCATGCAACCCGCGCCAAGCGCGGGAAAACGCGCGTCGAGCCAATCACGATTGCTTTTTGGTTTGCTCCTGATTGGTTAAAAAAACAGCCCGTTTGCTTCTGATTGGTTTGATGTTGCACGCGTTTTTTAAACCAATTATACAGCTCAGCAAACGTAAAATCAAAGCAACACTGCTTTAAAAACATGGAAACATTATATTTCTGAGTAACTCTGACGGTAAATATTTTTCTTTATTCTTTCTTCCAGAAAAACGCGTGACATCGCCTCTTTTCCGTGCCATCACTCTAAAATACTCTACATATTTCAACTTTGCTGTCCTGCGTAAGCCAAAAAAAGAGATAAAGGACAATTTCCAAATAAAAAAACTGCCAGCAATCCTGGTTATGATTGCATCGGCAAGCGCTGACAAATCAATAATCAAGTTCAGCTCAGTGTTTTATGACACGAAGGAATATGGAAAAATTTCGTACCTTAATTTGACGAGATTTTTTATTCCGTCCACGAGAAACACTGGCTAGATCACCCTTCGGCGAAAAATACAAAGGAAACATTGGCTTGAGAGAGGTTTTCGTTGAAGATGTTAAAGTAATTTTAGCAAGAGAGAGTAACACTCAAGAGGTTGAAGACAAAAAATCTAGTGAAAGAAATTACATTTGAGAATCATAAACAGATGTGTAGAGACTCCGCCCTTGGTTTGTGTTTGATCTACTTCGTGGATGGCAAGGAAAAGAAAGCGGTTAAGAAAGCTTTAAGGCTGTTTAAAAGATCTACAGAAAGTATCAGATATTAAAGGTAAAGCTGTTATTAAAATATTTCTTTTTTTTTCTTTTGATACGATTTGTGCGGGGGGGGGGGGGGGGGTACACTCTTCGCAATGACTGGGACGTGAAAACTCAATAGGGCTCATATTTTACCCCAGGGATATAATATTGTCCCCATTTTTACGTTTCAAACAAGGCCTAGTAAGTCTGTTAATCTCCTAATGGTTAGTACGTTGGACTCCGTATCAAGAAGTCCGGGTTCGAATGCGGACCGAGGTAACTGTGTTGTGTTCTTGGACAAGACACTTGACTCACAGTGTCTCTCTCCACCCAGGAGTAAATAAATGTATATCATGATCGACGAAATGTTAAGATAACTTGGCAAAAATGTCGCTATAAAAATGTGCAAGGGTTTGGGAGCCCGGGCTAATCATTCCGTAGGGTTTAATTTTGAGTTCCCACTCACAGGCACCCCCACAGTTTGTTACAGGGATGAGAAGGGAAGCACAGTATTTCACAAACGCCTGCTTTAGGAAACCAGTTGGGTAATGTTCATGATGAGATACGGCAAAAAACTGAAAGGTTATACAGTTGAACCTCTCCACAACGGCCACCCTGGGGCGGAATTAACTGGACGCTGTAGAGATGTGGTCGTTGTAGTACGGCGCACGATTGGCCGTTAGCTAATGAGCACCGAAGCTTGCCTTTGGCCGGAGAACATTACTGAGGTTTTATCTTTCTATGTCTTTCAGGTAAACCACTACACTATCTCTGGGTTAACGCGTCTTGCCATCCAGAATATGGCGATGTTTTCGGCATCTCTCCACAGAACCTGCCTGTGTTGCTGTTTGCTAAACCAAAACAACGACTGTTTAAAACGCTGGATGGAAGACATGGAAGCTTGTCCAAGGGAAAAGTCAGCGATATTATCTCGGATATATTTCTAGACCGCGAAAAAGTTGTCGCCTTTTTCACGGTTTAAACGAAATGTTATCTGTTGACTGCCAGAAAGTAGCGTCTCCAGGTCAAACCAAGGAAAAGAAAAAGGAAGCTAAGTAAGTCACTCTGACCAGTCACCGAAGATATCCTTCTTACTATCTTCTTTAAAAATACTTACATTTATATTTTTTGTCGTTTTGCGCCGCACACATACACTACATTTTAGGCCGCGTAAGAGACAAAATGGCTGTGCCTCGGAATGTTTGAAAGTAGTTTTATAGTTACTGCACTGCGAAAGGCGACACCACATAAATACCATTAAATTACACCCGCCCTAACGCCCTTTTCAACACCTCTTTACACCCGCCCTAACGCCCTTTTCAACACCTCTTGGTAGATTGGAAGTCTTTTCCAATCGCTTATCCAATAACAGGCGAAGCTTATTTCAAATAACAAATCAGTCGGGAGGGACAGTCCCGCTTCCCGTACCGTACCGGTTCTCGCCTCTTTGTGCTTTTTCTATTGCAAATTAAACATTACGCAATGTTGCAGACATTTTTTTCATATTTCTCCCGGTTCCCGCCACATCTTGGGCATCCCGCTTCACACCCGTAGACTTCCCGCCCCCTTTACTCCCGTGTTCCCCCCCGCCCCCCCTCCCCCACCAACACAAATCAGCTGTAGGTGTAGAAAAAGGTAACGATAAGAAGCAGTAGCCATAATCAGGGATAATGGCTCCTGCAAGAAGTAAATGTGGTGGAAATTGTCTTGGCCTGGTTATCATCTTTAGAAAGGGGATACGTACATTGGTCTTGATAGAGTTTTTATGATGAGCAAAATTTTCATTTTTATTTTCAACAGGAAAACGTCAAACAAAGCAAAGGATAAACGCGAAAAGAAAACTCAGAGAGGAGACGAACTCTAATGGGATCATAGAGCTCTCCGTGCAAATAAACTTAATGTTTGATTTTATTGTTTATGTATGCATGAAGAAAACAGTTTATGAGCCAAACTCGAGTCTCATATTTTCAAGTTTGTCCATATTGTAATCCATTTCCATCCTCGCTGTGTAGAAACCCACATCTCCCGTCGCTCATGCACAGATGTGCCTCACTTCCTAATGGATTCCTGTCATTTATAGAGTACTGTTCTACAAAATCAAACCATTATTGCTGGGCTTCCTACACGTGAGCCTTGCGTCATCCTCAGTAATGGGTTCCTGTTTTTGTCCAATACTGTTTCTACAAAATCAAGCCATTATTGTTTGGTTTTCTCAAGAGAGCATGAATCTAAGAGAAGCATTTCCCCATACATGGGTCTCTTCCAATGACAATTTTTTTAAATCTATTTTTAACATTCAGTCCATAGCTGAGCTATTTTAAGAGCGCTACCTGTTTGGTCAGTTCGTAACGTGATGTCGGAGCTTCGATCAGAAGGAAATAAAATAAAACTTTCACAACATAGCGCAAAAACTATTAATAGTTTTCAAAAATTATCACGAGGCATGTGGAATCCTTCTCTTAGATCATCCTCTCCTGGTTTTCAGCTTCTCTGAAACATGTTAAAAATAGAATGAGTTATGAATAGTTGTTAGCCTCTCCACAGGCTTAGTGTGAAGTTACACGATAGAGGTCTCTCTGGAAAGTTTTTCTAAAGAGGAGCAGGGCTGATTTAACTCTTACAAAAAACTGAGACATCTTCAAAACATGAATTTTGATAAACTTTATTCAACTGTTCATTCACACACATGTGTATGTACAATATATTAAGAAATGATTTAGTAAAATTGAAAATGGATTTAAACATTATATAACCAGTAATTTTCCACATTCTCCTTCAAAATATATATTACAAACATTAAGTACAGTATGCACATATCACCGGATTTACAATTAAAATTAAAGATTCCCACACTGAAGTATGCAACGTCCAGAACCGAGTGTAAGCGAGACAGTTTTTTTCGTCAAACTTTAAAAGGACAATTCCGTCTGTGATTTAATATTTTCAGAATCACAAGTTATATGCGGCGTTTTAGTTACAGCTCCAAAAACTGTGCTGCCATTCAGTCAGAAACACCACTTCAAACAGAGCTTGTTGTTATTTCAATTCAGTGAGTGTTAATCAGTCCCGGGCCAAACGAGGAAGAGAGTTGGTGAGAGTTGGCTCTCATGAGAGTTTTCATAAACTCTCATCGACTATCATGAAGTGTGGGCCAAATGAGAGAAAACTCGCGACGACTCTCAAGAAAAATTTGTGTAGGTTCAAACTTGATGAGAGTGCATGAGATTTGCTGAGAGCGCATAAGAGTTTTAAGCCAAACGAGAGTGAGAGTTTGAACTCTCATCAACTCTCATCTTTGTTTGGCCCGGACTTTATGCTGATAATCAAATCTGTAGTTGCCTTAACTTTCGCAGTTTCTCGTCATGTTGAACGACCAAGG